AATCGGAAACCGAGCTCCGGACTGCTTGAGCCGGAATACGATGACGGAATCGATTCTCAACATGAAGTTTAACAACTATACTTTTACACTTGATATTAATTGATTATTTTAAAATATACGTGTGTATTTGCAATTTCAGTTAATTCTAAATACATATTTTGATTCATTTCATATTGATTCTTACTGCTGACATAATTTTGAATAAATTACAAACTATGTGATTAAGATTTATTTTTAGCAATGCAAATTTTATCTTCCATGAAATTGTTTAAATATGACATTGTAATTTTTTTGTTTCACGAATATTTTCTTATTTATAATTGATTTTACACTATTTTTCTTTAATGTAGTCGGTGTGTATGACATATATGAGATAATCATTTTAAGATAAACCATGGTGACCCTATTTACAATTATATGTGATATTCTATACTACTATATTACTTGTATTAAATATTGCGTTTCCTTGTTTTTCAAATCTCTTACTTGTAGTCTTGTACTCGTTAGCATTCCTATAGTCATCCCTACCATCTTGAAAAGAAATGTTAAAAACAATCTCTATCACACATCTTGCATAAATTGATAAGTACAAACTCTGAAAAGCTTATAATAATAATTTGACAAAGTTTAGGGAACTTTCTTACTTTTAGTTACAAAGATTGAGTCCTGTCATGATTAAAAGTCTGTGACCTAACCTCATTAATAGACACTCATACAATAATTACAAGACAAGTTAGTTTAGATGCATGTAATTAGATATGTGCCTATGATGCTCAGTTTGACCTTTTAGGATGGAACACCGGGTCTTAACATGATATCATAGCCAAATCGATCCATGGTGTGGGACTCCTTATGAAAAATGATGACACGACTATAAAATGGTCGGATGAAAAAAAAACGGACTGATGAAAAAAATGAATGATGACACGATCCAAACGAAGTGTCTGGTCGTGAGGAGGGGTGTTAAATGTCCCACACCGGAAAAGTTTTTATGAAAAAAAATTGTGAAACAAATTTTAAGGATTTACTTAAAATTGATCGCAAATAACAATATATGAGAATATTGGGTACAATCTCTAAATATGAATCCTCTGATTCTTCACTTGCAATTAGATATGAATATAATTAAAGAATTTAATTTAAAATTAAATCTTTAATCCTTCAAAAACTCGAACGTTCTTCGGATCTTCGAATCTTTGTTCTTGAGATCTTCGAATCCTCGTTCTTCAGATCTTCAAATCTTCTTGAATGCAGAGTTCTTCAACTTGAAGGGCCTCCGGTTTTCAAGTAGCTTAATCTTCAACAAAAGGGCCGTTATATGGCTTTATCTTCTTTTAAAAGGGCTTCCCGGGATATATGGCTTGATCTTCAATTGAATCTTGATTCAATCTTCATATGAATATCTTCAAATCTTCAAAGATTCATTCTTCATATCTTCGAATCTTCAAAGCTTTGTTCTTTAGATCTTCGAATCTTCAAGCTTGTTCTTCAAATCTTCGAACGTTCTTCAACTTTTGGTTTTGTTTGATCAAGAATAGATGAAATCACAAAGGATTATTCATATATTCTTGACAAAAACGTGGCTTGATATCTTCCGATGCTTCGGAATCCTTCAGAGCCTCTCGGGAGTTTTTCAGAGCTTTGTTGCAGCGTTTCTTCGTCTGGAAGTTCTCTTTTTTTTTTCTCTCAACTGAGACCCCTACCTATTTATAGGTGTGGAGGGGGTGAAAATATAGCTTAGGGTTGCAGAAATTCGTCCATACCCTTTGGGCCCCAATTAAAATGCGCTTTGAGCTCTATTTCCTTGAATTTTAATAGCTAGAAAAATCAGCACTTGTGCAATGTACCTAGACAGCTTTCTTAACAAGGTTCAGGGCTATTTGTCATGCATATGGACACATTTCTTAGCCAGATTCATTGCTCTCTTTACCAATTGGATCATGTCTCTTATATATTGCGCCAATATTTGATAATGGGCTCGAAATTAATAGGACCGGTTCATTCTTTTAATAATTAAATTAATTGGATCTTTAAATGACCCAAATTAATTTAATCACTAAATTTTATTCAAGTGATCCAATAAGATATAGTATAGCCCGGTAGCTTTTAAGAAATCTCAATGGCTACCGTAGTTGGCCCAATAATTTTTACATGTTCACAAAGCCATGTAGCAAAATATATACTTCAATACGGAGTACAAGGCATTTCACTTGACCACTTCTCACTACTCTGATTTCATTTCTTGTACAACAAAGTCATACATTTTACAGCGACCGAAGGCAGTATGGATGTCACTACACGTTTCTTACGGCCTTGTACATCTAGTTCAAGTTGCCCTACACTGTGCCCGAATGAGGACATTCCGGATTGTGGAAAGAGTAAAAGCGGAGTGTTCCTGACTTCCTGTCATGTTTGGATTGTTTTCTAGGGCAAAGATCATTGTATAGATTTGAGTATGGTCAAAGTTCTTGGACTTTGCTTTTAAAATTCCGCAGGGCAACATGCACCACTGCAATATCTGATCCAGTAGAAACTGTGTCCATAGGGCAAGGTATTTGCTTGACTATGGATTCGGAAAGTATAAGTTCTTTCATAGAAACTGTGAAGATTTTGCCTTGTACTGTAAAACAGGATTCATCATCAATCCTTCTACAAAGTTAAAAAAAGCGGCTAACGGAGTTGGTGCAGTAGTGTATTTGGCCTCATGCAACCCAACTGCTCTGGTCTGGTGTATTTGGGAACTGGGGCGACTTTGGGGTTAGAGGAGACATGGTCAAATAAATGTGGAGGATCTTTTTCCCTTACTTGGCCTTCAATGTCAAGGCTAGCACGGCGTGGGAATGCAATTTACAAGTACTTGGTACTATAGGCTCATCAATCATGGGGGAGTAGACTAGCTTTTTATAGTCCCTGCAAATATAGGCCACTTTGTTTTAGGTCCCTGCAAAATATTTTCTTTGTTTTTCATCCCTGTAATATGTACTATTTTGGTTTTAGTCCATCTCTAACTCTGAAACAACTCTACTTAGAGTTTTTTATTGTCGGTTGCATAAATCAACTAGAAGCATTTAAATTTATCAGTTTATAATTTTTTTGAGGTTAATAAGAGAGCTAAAACAATATTAAAACTAATTATTCACATTTTAAAAAAATATAAAATAAAAAATCCTTTAAAAATGAAATTAAATACTTTTTGAATGGTATGACAAAGAATTTAAGGATACCTATGAGTCCGGATTGTTTCGGTGTCAAATAGAGGTTGTTATCATTAGTCATGGACTAAAAAGAAAATGAACATAAATTTCAAGGATGAAAAACAAAGAAAATATTTTGCAAGGACCTAAAACAAACTGACCTATATTTGTAGGGACTAAAAACATATTTAAACCTTATTTATATACTACTCCCTCCGTAACATTCATATCTTTCCACTTTCCTTTTTTGGATGTAACATTCATATTTTCCCATTTCTAAATCTTCCCATCATACCCCCAATAATTTTAAAAATAATACACTATTACACCTACTTTTTTGGATTTATCCTTCATTCCATCACATTATTTCACTATCTTCCCATCATACCCTCAATAATTAATATCCCCTTTCACTATTCTTAATCTACCTACTTTTCAAATGGGAACATATATATGTTACGGAGGGAGTAGTATTTTGCAGAAGGAAAAAGTTGAGATTTTGATGTTGCCCTAGCATTGATTATCAACAACTTTTTATGGATTGAATCACCTAAATTATGAAAATTTAGGGGAAGCAACTCCATTTGGAATACCATTCGAACATTGTCTTTCTTTTTTGTTTGAAAATTTTAATTAGTAAAAAGAGAAAGATCATGGAAGAAAGAGAAATGGTGAATATAATACGATAGTACTTTTAAATTTTAACTACTCCGTAAGTCCGTATAAACCAAGAGAAGGATGGGTGACTCAAAAGTTTGTTTTTACCATGTTCAAAAGTTTGATGAGTTTAACATAAGTAGGGAAATAACTCCGGCAGCCGTGGAAATGCTGGCAGGCCGCCTGAAAAAATTCTGAAAATTTTTCCACAACAGCGGCCGGAGGTCCTAAGGCGGCGGCAGGTGGCAGGTGGTAGGTGGCAGCCAAGGGGTAGCAATGAGAGTATTTTGGTCCAATCACAAATAAAAAATCCTAGTTAAGGATGTCTTAACTAATTGATCCTATTTTGGGGAAAAACTATGTTTAGTCCTACTAAGGTAAAACTCCATTTTCTTGATAGGAAAATTTTTTTGTATACATTTTGGATATATCGAAAGTGTCGTTGAGACTTTGTAGATTTTTGTATGAAATTTTGTAAGCAAGTTTTTTATGAACTATAGATTATGTTAATATAATTTGTGTGCTTAAAATCCAATCGAAAAGTGAATTAAATAAATTATTGAAAAATGATATGCCTTTATATATGTAAAACGTACTCCCTCTGTCCCAAAATTATCTTCCAACTTTTTTTTTCGTTTGAGCAAAATTATCTCCTATTTCTCCCTTTTGATAAAGAATTTGTAGTTCACAATATTTCTTACACTTTTTTGCACATTTCTTTCTCCTCCACAATTTACGCAACTGTCCACCATACAATATTCAATATCTTAATTCTTGTGTCGTTTGTATTTGAGGAGATAAATATGAGATGAAGATGGTAGTTTTTTTATAATTTATTAAGAGTTTTTCTTAAACATAATTAATAGCAAGCGACTTTCCAAAAAAGTAACCACTTTTTGTGTATAAAAAATGTGACTAACAAAGCCACATTTTGATGCATGAGAGAAGTTCTGTTGTTAATACTCCCTCCGTCGTTTAATAATTTATCAATTTTCCTTTTTTGAATGTCTCAATGACCTAGTCACCTTTGAAAGAATTTGTGATTCTTATTAATTCTGTCCCATCTGCACAAATCTTAATAACACATTTTTAACTTTGTTAATTTATATGCCAATCAAATACTATCGTATAACAAAGTTTGGGGAAGGAATAATATCAAATCTTTTCAAATGGCAATTATTAGGGCACTGGCCACATATCTCAATCCTTTGTACGTAGTAACACTGTTCGAACATTGGATTATTTGGGGGAAGATTGAGGTTTCTTTGGTTTTGTATCACTCAAGAGTCGAGACACTGTAAATAAATGCTAGGGAGTAATTCATTTGGTTTCGTTTTAGACTGGCCGCCGACTCAGTCTCAGTGCTGAGTAGGAAGGAAGAGAATGGGTCTGCTGTCGCAGAGAGTCGAGAGAAGTGAAATAGCAGCGGGCGACCATATTTACACTTGGAGATCCGCCTTTGCTTATGCTCATCATGGTTTCTACTCTTTCTCCACTTCTATTATTACGTTTCTTTCCAGTAATGTATTCACATTTGCAGTTTTTTGCCCTCTGAAACTCTTGATCATCCCTAGATTTTTCTTAGTATAACACCTAAAGTATTGGACTATTCATATGCGGATCTATTGGGATAGAGTCACTATTCATAATATGATTTCATGGTTGGAAATTATCACAAACAACAGCAAAACATAGACGATTAGATGATATGCTCATATGCATAAACCTACCCATCTCTGTTTTCTATAATTCTGTTACAATAGGATTCGTCCTTCACTCATTTCCAAAGAAATACTCTAACAAATGTAGTTATTAGTTCTTCTTCTATGATTAAGTAAGTAACATTGTTAGGATAAAATAAGGATGGTAATGTTTGTAGAGGTACTTTATGTTTTTACTTTTCTCATTTCATAATCTCATAAAATCAAACCGGCAATGTGATATGGGTAAACCTCAAAATTATGAGTACATTTGTTTCAAGTTTGGTATGCTTGGCTCCATGAGGAGGCAATGGTTAGGTTTAATTGTTAATTGTAGTTGAGATAGGATTTTCCTTATTATCTTATCTTGTGCTCACTGTCATTATGATTTACTAGAGTCTAAATCGATCTTTACCCATCTTGAAAAGGTAAACCATTGATAATATTGAAAAGATATACTCGTAAAATTTTATATGATTATAAGCTGTGAGACTACTCCTCTCATTATCTCCTTTTAGAAGAAAAAAAAACAAGTGAAGATGATTTGTTTTCATGTGCTGTTGGATGGCTTTGTCTAGGAATATATGTTGGTGGCAACAAAGTTGTACATTTTACAGCAAGTGGAGGAATTATGGAAGCTGAGTCATCACTATGCCCAAATAATATTCTTGACTGTGGATTCCATAAGAGTGAAAATGGAGTGCTTTTGTCTTGCTTGGACTGTTTCCTGAAGGAAGGATCATTGTATGAATTTGAGTATGGCAGTGGTTGTCTGACTTTCCTCACAAAATTCCGCGGAGGTACATGCACCACTGCAGAATCTGATCCTCCAGAAAGTGTGATCCACAGGGCCATGTATCTACTTCAGAATGGATTTGGAAAGTATGACCTTTTTCATAGAAACTGTGAAGATTTTGCCTTGTACTGTAAAACAGGCCTCGTCATCGTTCATCAACAAACAAACCATGCTATGGGAAGTTCGGGAACAACTGGTCAAGTGGCTAGCGCTCTCCTAGGGGGTGCTTTGGTGGGGGTTGTTGGAAGTTTATTCAACACAACTACTCCGGTAGGCTTGGGTTTGGGAACAGGGACTTATTTAGTGAACAGGTATGGAAATGACATTGGTGTTAGGAAAGATGTGGTCAAGGTGGATGTTGAGGATATTGCTTTGTTCCATCGCCGTCAGGTGAGTGTTGAAGATATTTGTCCCACGAATGTGAATGACCCAAAAAAGGGAATTTCAAAGGAAAGTGCTTTTGATTGATTTACTTATATAGTAAATCAATCAAAGTGTTTTTTGAAAGGAAAAAACACACTTTTATTGGGATATTAGTATGTGCATAAGTTTGGACATTTTTAGGGAGTTCTTAAGAAACCCTTATCATAACTGTTTTTTGTTCAAGTAGACATTAACTGCATTTCCGAAATGGAACCAAATGGATGAATTTGAGAGTGATTGTTGTAACTAGAACTATGCAGATGACCTCAATGAGCAACCTTGTGTTTGTGGCTTCATGTGCAAAAGAACAGTGAACAAAATGATGTTGGTCTTGTTGAATGGTTTCCAGTGTTCTAATTGAGGCAGGATGCAGGAGGCATATGGTAGTAAGTATTATTCTCTCAAAGTCGTCCTACATCATTTGCCCCTTATACATGAATCTGAATCAGTGAACTATGGTCTTTTATCTTGCACTGCCTAGCTTACACACACAGATTTGGGCAAATTCTATTTCTTGATGATTTTAATGGGTGTGATGTATATTAGACTGTTATTGGAAAACGTAGTAGATGAAGAATTTTGTTTTGTGTAGATCTATCCTCCTTCAGCTGTAGCCTTTGGTTATCTTTAAATTTTTATCTCCTAGTGATAATGTTTGAATTGAATCTCATTACTCTTTTGAAATAGCACATACATTTGTTTTCTTAATTTTGCAGTTTTTAGTGTTTAATTCCCTTCACATAGTTTGGCAGCTTGCATCCTACCATCTCGTCTACCAGTTGTTCAACGTTGGCCAAAGAGAATGGGTAGTGGACACATTATGAAGGTCAGTGGCTTTTGGGCGAGCAATGCCTTGGCCAATGAAGTTGGGTATTTGACCTATTTAATGTGCCGGATTGAGAGGAGCATAATGACTTCAACTTTGATGAAGCCGTGCCTCTCGGTAGAGAAATATCACATCTCCTTCTCGACCGATGGCAACTAGGTTCCACTGTTGGTCGCTGGGTGTTGACCCATTAGCTTTGCTCTAACAACCCCTTGAGAGTTTGTAGGATGAGTAGGATTTTGTCTTACAACTCCTGTGAGAGCTGCGGAGCTGCCTTCTTATCATTAGGACCCGCTTGTTGAAACAAACATTTTGTCTTGTATGCAAGTAATTACTATCGTATATCTTAGTTGAGATTCAAATTTATTTACTCCCCCCCGTTCCGTAAAACTTAGCGAACATTGACTTGCAAGTAAAATAGTAAAGTAAACACTATCATCATACGGAGTATATGGTTGTGATTTGTACAAAGAATAGAAAATAGTTTTATTCATTACTTTAAATGGAAAATATAAAGTTTTTTGAGATAGTTATATAAAGAAATATGACAAAGTTTTATGGAGCAAATAGTAGTGGGTTGCGGGGGGATTTTTTAGTCACAATGTAGGGGTATGGGGGAGTGAACCCCTCCTCATTGCCATCCCTACACCATGAGTGTCATGAAACTTTTCCACTTTTTCAGAAAATATTTAAAAATGAAAAGAAAAAAACCCAACGAAATTTTCGTAGTATGGGTTGTTGGATAGGAATTAGAATTAAAAGAAAAACATACTAGTATTAATTAAACAAAGATTAATCACATTTTAGAAAAATGAAAAGTAGTTATATTTTTCTCTTGTAAAAGCGTAGAAGTAACTAAATTTTTTCGTTTTTCTTTAAAAACATGTTCATCCAGATGACATAATGAGACGAGCACATACAATAGATGAATCAAATGTGCATCAGGTACTTTTGAATAGGCATGGCCTCGGTTCGGGCCGCCCGGCCCGGGACCGGCCCGACCCGCTACTATGCGGGCCCGGCCCGGCCCGGCCCGGTTATCCGGGTCCGGGTCCGGTTCGGGCCGGAGGCCCGGGGGCCGGGGGTGGGGCGGTTCCGGGCTCGGTTCATGGTTTTGACGGCCCGGCCCGGCCGGTTCGGGCCCGGGTCCGGGCCAAATCTATTTTTTTTTTAATTTTTTTCATTTGTTTTGGGCTGTTGGGCTTGGGCTATCCTGTTTAGGCCGGTTTGGGGGGGGTTTGGGGGGGGTGGGGGGTGGGGGGGTGGGGGAAGAAAGGAAAAAAAAAAAAATTAAACCGGGTGGCCCGACCGGCCCGACCGGCCCGGCCCGGAACCGGACCCGGAACCGGTGGCCACCGGTTCGGGCTCGGGCCCAACAAAACAGACCCGAGGCCCGGCCGGGCCTAGGCCCGAACCGGGCCCGAACCGGCCCGGGTCCATCCATGCTTTTGAATATATTACTTAAAATAAATGCGCATTAGTTTACTATACTACTATTACAAAATGAGTACAATGAGGTTTATTTTTCTAGACTAGAACACCCTATAAATTCTTTTTCACAACAAGACATTGTAGTTATCTTTATTATTTCTAAAACTAATATTTGAGTAAACATATCTTGGTAATATTAGAGTTAGCTAAGAATATGACATTTCCGTATGATATTTTATGTGCTCAAATTATTTAAATACTACGTAGTAATGTTTTAAAATAATGTGCATTGATAATAATAAAATGAGCGCATCAGAACTGTCGAACGAACATAGAATGTTTATAAAATGTGCATGTAATATGGTAACAAAATTACGACTTTTAACTATGTCGGATATACCGTATATATAGGCCATTTTAGTCCTCGTTTAGTTTGTGTTAATCATCCCATTCACCATTCAAGAAAGACTCACTCTTGTAACACATAAAGACCCAAACAAGAACCGACACCACAAAGGTAACAATTACAGTGATATTTGCGTTTATCAATTTCTTCCTCATATCAGCTAGTAATCCCGCTTTGCAAGAATCACAATTGAAGCAGAGTTTGCTTTGGTCATTGCTCCACTTCGCACAATCCCCATCTATTGCGGCTGTGGTTTGGTTGCTTGTTGCGGCCGCTACCCAATACGTTGGGCTCACAAAACTGAAGCCACATTTTGCAGGTGGCACACAACATCCAGACTGTCAAATAGGACGACCATGATTATGTGTCACACACCACATATCCATATGTGAAGGAAGGGAAAAGTTAACTTGTTGAATCTTACATTATTAATATGCTATACTTTGATTACATTTTATTTACTAATGTATTAATAAATTATTTTTTATAAAAATATTGTTTGGTGAGTTTGGCCCGAGGGAACCTTGTAGAAATCATCACAAAGCTATTAACAAAACAAGGTACGTTAATAAACCACACAAGCAAGCAAGCGGGAGAATTGGGGATTCCAAATAATCCAACTACCACACAAAGCAAACACAAAGAAAATAAAAAATATAATAGTATCTCTATAATTTACACAAATAAAGCATTCCAATTATGACAAATAATTTAATTAAAAGAGAATTAAACATATTTAAAGCTAACTCAGAAAAAATAGAGTCAAACACCTTGCACTTATGACTTCTCTCATGCTTCATGATGTCTCTGTCTCTAATAATCTGACAATCACGCAACTCAAGCACATTGCACACAACAACATTCATACCATATATACTCCACCGTAATAGATATATTATTTTATTTGTTTTCAACTTGAAAATAATTTTCATTCACACGTTTTGGCACAGTTTCATCCAGTAAATCAGAATGAATATTAACAGACAAATGCGCCACCTCATTTGGAGCAACATCAGGAGAAACAAGCAAGCTATTTTCAATAAAAACGACATTTCTACTTATCAACACATTAAAACAAGTTTCACTCCTATACCGAACACATATCTTAAGAAAACATATTCGTTAGCCCTAGGTTCAGATTCATCATTCTCATGATTCACATAAGCAACACAACCGAACACTATCAAATTTGTCAAGTCATCAAGTGGTTTTCCCATGAACACAAATTCAGGGCATTTCCCACCTAAGAGAACAAACGGAAACATATTAATCAAATAAGCAACATAACAAATAGCTTCCCCCACAGAACGCTTTAGAGAGCCCAGATTAAACTAACATAGTCATCAACCTCTCTAATAGAGTTCTAACCATCCTCGCAGCAAACCCATCCTGAACCGCCGCCTTGGAGCGGTCGAGGTGTCGGGTTTTGGAAGATGATGTTTCAAGAAAACTGGCATGAAGGAATTTGGAGCTTTTATAAGTTATTTTATTTCTTATGGTCTTATTTCCGCGTTGTTTTCATTTACATTGCTATGTTTTTGTTGATGTCTTTAGTTTTAGACCTACAATAATGAGTAAGAATTCTTCTAGCTATTATGTCGTTAGTAGGATCTATAAGACCAGTGATTGTCAGGTCACATCCGTTTGGTGGTTAGCAATTCGTATTACTCTTTCAGGGGCAATCGCTTCTATGTCTAGTCGTACTCGTAGGGTTAATAGTGATAATTGGTCAAGGATATTTGTTGTCAGTGCTGGTCTCTTTGAATTTAATGTAGCGATCCGAATCGTAAAGATATTAATATATGTAGTTTTTTCTTTCAAAAAAATTAACATATTGCAATAGATACACAAACACACACATAAAGAGAGCATAAAGTAGCATTTATATCAGACTGGTCTCAAGGGAATTTCGTTTGGCCGATTCAACTTCATTTTTGGCCTGAAGTTTACGATCCATTTTTTTTTCAATAGTACCAACGATTAGTTTGAATAGTTTCATGTTTAACAAACACACTATTTTAAAATTTAAATCTTTTTATAGGAACTTGTAGCATTAATCAGCCAAATCATCAAATTCGAAAAAAAAAGAGGATCGTTTAACATATTAGTAAAAAAACCACTTGAGACATATTTGTAAAAAAAAAGCCTCAGAATGTTTTTACTTGGACAGTAATTTGTCCAGACCATACCAGACTAGATCAGATCAGATCAGGCTGGGTAGTTATAAAAATACAAAGAAACCAGACCAGACCAAACCATCAAATTACAATCCAAGTAAAAACATCCTTAGTGATAATTAGTCAATTGTTTTGTGAGTGATAAACTTTCGATCCCCGACTTTGGAATTTCTGACATTTCATATTTTAAGTATTGTGAAATTGACATTTGCAGTACTTTTACTTTGATTTTGTCATCAAAAGTAAATAAGGTCTAAAAATATCAACGACAATGTTTGATAATATTAGTTAACTGCTAGCTCATAACCGATTGAATCAACATATTGATATTAATGGATTCCGTTAGCTTTTTTAACTAACCGCTTTCATTAGCGGTTGGAAATAAAATGTTAATAACTTAAAATTTACAATTAGCTCTTCAGGCGTAAAATGACCATTAAAAATGAATTTAAAAGTTTATATATTTAAAATTATTTTATTCCTTTTTATTTTTAATAAGTTTTGGAAGATGTTTTGAAAAATATGTTTACGTTTATTTTAAATAATTACTAACACTGCCATATTTAAGATATGTACATTAATGAGAGCACACACATATGAGAGCACACACTTTTGATGACAAAATCAAAGTAGAAGGAATGCAAATGTCAATTTCACAATACTTAGAATATGGAATATCGAGAGTTCTAAAGTCGAGTATCAAAAATTTAGTACTCACAACAAAACTGACCAATTTGTTACTAGTTTTTTTACCAATATGTTTCAAGTAGTTTTTTCACCAATCTATCAAATGACCTTATTTTTTTACCAATTTGGTAATTTGGCCAGCATTATTTCACTTTTTTACCATATATTTCTCCTTATTTGAATGATTTTATATAATTTTAGTATGTTTTTCCCATCAATAATGTCAACTGCAATATCAATATCTAGACGGTCTCCTTGACATTGTGGAGAAAAACTTATCAAAATTGTATAAAAATCATTCAAATAAGGAGAGAAAGAATTTATTTACTAATATTTATGTGGTTATCTCTTATGCCACATGCGCACCGTGCACATTCTACCGTTGGAGATGCTCTAAGTATAGTATTTCTCACATATTATTGTTAATAGAGCCCAATACACATGTAATAACGCATTTGATGCACTACTATATGTCTATATATCGCGATAAAATTAAATATACTTATGATAACATCAAAACATTCACAAATTGAATTAAAATTTGATTTATTGCACACTTGCATTCACAAATTTCAACAAATTGAAAAGAGAATACTACGCATACAAGCGATGTGATGGAGTATATATACCTGTATGTGAGTGAGGTGTGCAGCGAAAAGTTGTTGAGGCAAGGAGTAAGTGTGATTCAAGTCACCACAAGAACCGGATGGAGCGACACAAGTTATGACTCGATCCCAGGTATACACGCCGCTTACCTTACGGCGAAGCCAAGAAGAGAAGTGATCCAAACGGTATTGGGCATCACCGAACCGCTCAGGCTCCCGCTCGGGGGAGCCTGAGTATCGAGACGCCACATACAGAAAAATGATAAACCCGAGCATGAATAGTAAGGCGAGAGGCATACCGAAGGTCGGCGTAACAACGCATTTGGAATCCTCATACAGGACTCCGCAACAGCTAAATAAGCCTACTAGGAACATAGCAAGTCCATAGAGAAGGAACAGGAATGGGAGGGGTTTCATCGTAGCACAAGAATTGATAAGCATATAAATGGACATCCCAAAGATGGGAAAAGATAGGAAAAGGGGAATGACGGATATCCATATTGTTAACTTACGTTGAGCCATTTTCTCATAAATATGCTTTCTGAATACAGTGCGTTTTTTATTGATTGGTGCTGGTATGCCCTATGCATTTCTTGTTCTCCATATTTATAAGGTGGGTGCATGTTGGAACGCTGCATTTGATTATTAGTCAATTCTTTATTTATACGTATTTAAATTTTAAAAAAATCAACTAATAATATTACTTCAACAAAAGTGGTGCACAAAGACGTAACTCAATAATTACTCCGTGACTATAATGTCATTCAAATTATAATTAGTCAGTAATAGTCACATTTTTAGATATTCATAACTTTTTTTTATTAATAGTATTTTATGAAAAGCCTCTTAAATTATTCAATTGCAATATTTTATATTATTTTATGTGTACAAGGTATGTACGTTGAGTGTACCATAGAATTTGTCTATTTATAATCCACATATATGAGAATATAGGGGTAATATTGGGTAATTATAATTGGGTGAGGGATGAGCATGAAAGTCGTACAAGTGTCTTTTTAACAAATTCTAAAATTAGTCTCATTTTTGTCTATAAGTTTTTATTTAGTATTATTGTTGTTAAACCCCATTACTTATAGTCTTACTTTTGTTACCCTAGGGTTACTTAGGTTTAAATATTGACTTCTTATTTACCACTCACACGGTCACGCCTGTCCTTTTGATGAACTAAATTTTACTTTTACTCAGTTGATATATACGTTTTTCAAAAAGTAAATGATTTGGGAAAAAATGTAAACAAATGTTGCAAAGGACCTGGATGATGTTCCCCAGTTTTCAACTTTCCAGGCCATACACCACGTCCAATTACCAGGTACTCCGAGAGGCGTATTATGTGACGTAGCGAGAAGAATAAATAAGCCCAATTCGATACAAACTGAATAAATTTTAGGATGTTTTTATTTGGATTGTTTTCCGTTTCAGATCAGAGCAGATTTAAACAAATCAGATCAGCCTTAAACGGACCAGGCAAGACCAAACTTGACTTCCATAGTTATAAAATACACAAAGACAAGACGTTTACCTGCAGACCAGATCAGATCAGATTTAAATAGACCATACCAGCAAAGGACAGTCCAACTAAAAACATCTTAGAAGACTTTATGGTCTCTGTCATGTTTGTCACTGTAACATTAGGTCATTAGTCATGGGAGGTGAGGGTATAGTGGTCCTCCTCTTACTTCCTATTGATCTGTTTTTTTGGAAATTTAAATAAAATTTCTCTTTTGGTTCATGAGTTAATTTTTAGTACTCCATACTACCTCCATTCTTAACTAAATGCAACATATCAAATTTTACACTATTCGCATGTTCTACTTTGACTACATTTTATTTATTGATGTATTAATATATATTTTTAAAAAAATTATTACCAAATTTATCTCATTGTAAGTTCTCTAAATATGATTTTTCTAAATTTCTTTACTAATAGAGAGTTATATTTAATAATGGTCAAAGTTGTATCTCGACAAATGTGAAATGTTGATTGTTGCACTTGAATGAAGTATTATTTTTGAATTGTCATATTCTTAATTTCGTGATTCGGAATCTCCTTTACCACCGACTACAGTACCCTAAAGTTGTTGTACTGACTTGTACATAAACATTAAACCCTAGTGAAGAACCACTTGTTAACAAATTAGAATATGTGGGTGGAATAAAAGGGTAAGATTTCAAAACACTTATTTTCGTCATTTGTGATCTCATTCAGTATTTCAGTATTTAGAAATGTCACTTTATAAAAGGTTTTGAACACGTAATAATAGATACCATGTCTAATTGGTCGATCAATAAGAGCTATGGAAAAAAAGTTACTATTCTCCCAGTTTCCAAAAATGAGACTAAAAAAGTTAGGGGACTATTGTACCCTTACACTAATTTAATCTCACTCTTTAGATCTACAGTAACGTCACAATGACCAGAAACAGTATAGTGCCCAAAGTTCGTCAGTGACAAAAAATCCAAAGTTCATCTGTGACCAAAATCATTAGTGATAAAAAATCCGTCCAGTGACCAACGTCCACCCGTCTTTTGACTAACTTCCACCCGACCAGTGCCTAACGTCCACCCCTCCAGTGATAGTTATTCAACCTATCAAGTTATTGGCACACCACCCGTCTAGTTGCAGTTACCCGACCCATCCGTCTACCGTTATCTGACCCGTCCAATTACATTTATCCTATCCGTTCAATTACAGTTACAATTACAATTATTGGGGTCATCCATTTACAATTACCCGAGTATAATAATTATAGCTGACCACCACATCCCGCCATTGTCGTCGACCATCACCGCCACCACCGGCGACTGCCATTGTCGATGACACCCATGCCACCTTCGGCCACTGCCGGCAACCACCGCCGCCAACATCATTCAAAGGTTCACATCCACTATTCACATGGCCAACTTAAATCATTCTTAATCTTTTCTTTATATATCAAATCTTATGTATTACTACCACCGTCCCATTCAAAGATTCTCGTCCACTATTCACATGGTCAACTTAAATCATTCTTAATCTTTTGCTTTATATATATCAGATTTTTATCACATTTACATTTTTTTTATCTGGCTTTGTAGCGGTTTTAATGTAGTTTCTGAATATGTAAATTTTATTTTCTAAAAAGAACCAGAGTGTGCACAGGAATGAAGTTGTTTTATCATGAGTCAAGTATCGTTGATAGAGTAAATGGGCTCACACCTCATGGCCCACATCGGCCAGAGGCAAGAGTGTCCAGAAGATCGCCTGGAGACATAGTGGACACCGCGTCGGCCAAGAGCACGCATCGGCCAGGGCCGGGTCTTCCCCTGACAGAATGTATTTTCCTATCTTTTTTACTAAGTATTGTACTCATCCCATTAGAGGCCTTATTCCGCCCAAAGAAGGCATGATTATTGTAATGGGTCTCCTAAGCCCATGGCTAGGAGCCCAAATCCACATTTACTCCTATAAATACTCCTCTTGGTGGTTGAGAAATATTAATTGTTCACTTTCTCCCTCTAGCTCTCACTTCTCTCTAAAATTAAATACTCTATCAATCATAAACTGTAACGGGAAGTCGAGAACCTCTCTATGGGATGGAGGGAGTATACATTTCAAAAATATAATGCTTAAAAAATTAAAAGGATTGTGCACTTCTAGCTATATATTATACTTAAATAAGTATTGTACCGCAAATTATACTGTATGACCGGTATACGGTGAGCACCGCATACCGGTATACGGACTTCTTTATTTTTTATTCCTTTTGTTTTTAAAAAATGATACTCCCTCCGTCCCACTTTAAGGTTCCCACACGATTTACGATGTTTGACTAACCATAAAGTTAACTGATCCCTGTCATTATTAGAATTATTTTTAGTATATAAAATTTACATATTCAGAAACTACATTAAACCCGCTATAAAACCTGCAAAAAATAATTTAAATTTCATAAACTTTTGATATATAAAGTAAAATAATAAGAACAATGCACGTTGAGCGGAGAATAGTGTACGGGAACCTTTAAATGGGACGGAAGGAGTAATAACTTTTTCGTTTTTGATCCGATTTTTATAAAATTTACATCAACATTTTTTATTTTTCATGATCTTTCAAATGAGACCAATATTGCTTATGTAATTTTAAGAAATTATTGAACTATTATATTAATGAGTATTGGATTATAAGGAAAATCGAACTAAATTTAATACAGAAAAATAATTGTGTAAATCACAATTTATCTTAAAATTGTGTATATAAATAATTTATTTTATTATGTATTTATACATGTGAGTCACATATTTTCATACGTAAAGTTACATATTTGTACACGTAAAGTTACATATTTATACACACGAGTTGCATTTGGCCTGCCTGAACGCGAGTTACATATTTTTACACGTAAAGTTACATAGTTTTACACGTAAAGTTACATATTTATACACACGAGTTGTATTTGACCTATCTGAACGCGAGTTACATATTTTTACATGTAAAGTTACATATTTTTACACGTAGAGTTACATATTTATACACACGAGTTGCATTTGGCCTGACTGGACGTGAGTTACATATTTCTACACGTAAAATTACGTATTTTACATAGGTTATTATAATAGTTCGATAATATGTTAAAATTACATAGACAATATTGGTCTCATTTGAAAGATCATGAAAAATAAAAAAAATTGATATAAATTTTATAAAAACCAGATCACAAATGAAAAAGTTATTATAGTTTTTAACAATAAGAGAAATAAATAAATAATAGGACTCACTATCATTTTAATACATGTTTCATGCGGAGCTTCCAAAAATGCCTAAAATCGTATGCCGGTATATGGTATAACAACTGGTATTGTACGAAGTATTTAAAAGGAATGTGTTTTGAGAACTATAGAAAATGTATACACTATTTATGAAATGTGCATGTAGTGTGAAAAAGGACAAACTTAGAGCCCGTTTGGTAGCACGAAAATCGGCTGTTTTGGCTGATTTTGATGAAATTTATGAAGTTCTGGCTGAAGTGACTGCATTGGCTGATTCTGTTGATATAAGAAAAAATTATATGAAAAAATAGCTTAAATGGTCATCTACAGTAACTTTAACTAATACAGCAAGAAAAGTAACTCCAACCTTACTTTTATTGCTTATTACACAATCCAACGCGCGCAGGCATAATTTACGTGTTTGGTGAAAAGGTTGGCTGATAAGCCCGATAAGCCAAAAAACAAGATTGCCAAACGGGCTCTTAAACTATATATGCCAGAACGCCAGATCTATAGGGGGTAGCCGATCTATCGGGCATCCAAACAAACTGCTAAATATGGGCAATATATATCCTTGTTTGGGTCAAATATCCCATTCATCATCCATGAAAGATCGACTCACACTTAAAACACATAAAGGCACAAACAAGAACTGATACCACAAAGGTAACAATCATGGTGATATTTGCGATTATCAATTTCTTCCTCATATCGGCCAGTACTCCCGCTTTACAAGAATCACAATTGAAACAGAGCTTGCTTTGGTCATTGTTCCACTTCTCACAGTCACCGTCTGGTGTGGCAGCGGCTTGGTTGTTTGTTGTAGCAGCTACCCAATACGTTGGGGTCACAAAAGTGAAGCCACATTTTGCAGGAGGGACACAACATCCAGACTGTCAAATAGCACGTTGTCAAATTCCATATTAATCAGTTTCTCAAATGAGATTTTAGTCCATATTACTCCGTAATAAGTAAGAATATATGCAATACTTGACAGATTATAATAGCAACCAACATACACAACTTATTCATGAATAAACACTTTTAATTATTGACATCATCAAACTTTTCAATAGCAACTTGCAGGCTTGTATATTAATTATTTCTTGGATTATGACTATCAGTTCACCTATTTTACCAAATATTGACTTGTCACTCTACAGCTACATAATGTATAGTTTGAACTTATTAATTGTGCACGTACTATTAAATACTCCCTCCGTTCTTTTTTAAATGCAACATTGAACTTTTTCCATTATTCACATTTTCTACTTAGACTCTATTTTATTTATTAATGTATTACTACGTACGTATAATTTAAATTTAAAAAAATATTGTTAAATTCTTCTCATTTCAAATTTTCAAAATCTAATTTTTTTATTAATAACAAATTAAAGATATTAATGGTCAAACTTGTGCGATGGCAAATGTGAAAAGTAGACCGTTGCATTTAAAAAAGAACAGAAAAGAAGTACATAGTATCAGTTTTACACCTTTACACCTTAATTGAAATCTTTTTACACTATATTGTACGGACTAGAAATTTTCATATATTGTTAAATAGAGCACATTGCACATCAGCTCATGTAACATATATGATGCACTACTATAGCAAAAACTACACTTATAACATCAAAACCTGTCAAATCTATACTCAAACTCAAACTTATTTCATAGGTCTGATCTATATATATATACTACGCATTTCGTATGCATAAGTGATGTAGTTAATGTAGTATGGGATGTATTATGTATATACCTGTAAGTGGGTGAGGTGTGCAGCAAATAGCTGTTGAGGCAAGGAGTAAGCATGATTCAAGTCAGCGCAAGAGCCCGAAGGAGCGGCACAAGTTATGACTCGATCCCAGTTATACCAACCGCTGACCTTATTTCGAAGCCAAGACGAGAAGTGGTCGAAACGGTAATGGACGTAACCCGGCCTGTCAGGCTCCCGCTCGGGAGAGCCTGAGTACCGGGAGGCGAGACACAGGAAAACGATAAACCCGATCATGAATAACAAGGCAAAAGGCATGATGACTGTAGCTGAAACAGCGCATCCGGAATCCTTACACAGGACTCCGCAGCAGCTAAAGAAGCCTATTGCAAACATAGCAAGGCCGTAGAGTGCGAACAGTTCTGGGAGGGGTTTCATCTTGGCACAAGAATTGATGAGCATATGAATGGACATCCCAAAGATGGGAACAGATAGGAGAAGGGGAATGATGGATATCCATATTGTTAACTTACGTTGAGATATTGTCGCCATTCCTGGATCAGTAATATGCTTTACGGGATTAATTAAGAAGGGTTCTTTCTGATCAGGGGGAGTGGGGGCTCATCTCGATTGAGTTATTTCTCACCATATTTAAAAGGGCCGGTGGTTTTAGTTATTAGTGAGTCACGTGACTCACGGTAGACGTAGGGTTACCTTAGTTTCCAATTTCTAATCTCAAAGTAAAATTATAAAAATATTGCTCTGTACAAGTACCTTGCAGTCTGATGACATTATTGTGGAACTTCCAAAGAGGAGGCCACATGTTCAAATCTCATCTCAATTCAAGCCTGTTGGCATTAACAGAACACGTACTATAATATGTTAGAAAGATTTGCCAAAAAAACAAATGCTCCATAGTTTTTGCAAAAAAAAAAATGCTCTGTAGAAGACAATTTTTTATAAAAATGTGACTAATGTTTATTTAACTAATGCCTCAAGCAACCACTGCATGCGACTCCGGTTGGAACTGTCACCGCATTTTATCGGAAAAGTCTGATAAAAATTGCCGGACTTTGTTGTTTTTTCAATTTTTTTTAAAAAGATCCCCATAAAAAGTCATCAAGAAGTTTTTGCGGTGGTCAAATATAGGACACGTTTGACATTTAGCGGATAGCGGATTATAGAGGTGGGCACGGTCCGGGACGGTCCGGGATTTGGTTTATCCCGATCCCGTCCCGGTTTTATAACAACGGTCCGGTTCGGTACAGGATAAGTCTTTAGCCCAATGTTGTCCCATTTAAAACGGGACCAGGACAACCCGAGAAAAACCGGGACGGTTCGGGATGTCCCATAAAATATGCATTTGTGAAATGTGATACGTAGTATAAAAATAAGCATAACATCAATATAAAGATGTAACTATTTTTTGCAAATTTAGCTTCCCCAAAAAGTTAAGTAAAACCTTTAAATCTTTAGTTAACTGTTTTTAATTTTGTCTTGTAAATTTTTATGGTCCCCCTAATCTTGTGTTTCCTCTAGTAGAATAGTAGCGCAAAATATTTTTATACTTTGTAGTATACTTGTAATTTTTCAATACCACATTAAATTATACTCCCTCCGTCCCCTTTTAAATGGGACGGGAGATGGTGGCACGGGTTTTAAGAAAAGTGAGTTTGTGTGGTTGATATTAATTGATAAAGTAAGAATAAAGTAAGAATGATTTTGAGCCACACAAAGTTTACCAAATAAGGTATGGGGCAATTAAATAGGGACATCCCAATATGGTAAAACGGGACATTTAAAATGGGACGGAGGGATTTATATCATAAGGACACTATATATATTCTAGTAGTTATTTTGGAAAATATTAAATCTATAACAACACTATAATTTGGAGTAGTAGTTATTCCATCATAAATAGTATTCCGCACGTAATAATATACTACGTATTATGGATTAGTATTGGAATGAGAAGTAAACAAATTTTGATCAAAACAAACAAAAGAAGTGAGACTAAGAGAGACATGAAATAAGATAAAATTACACTAGGGAGACTAAGGACTAGAAAGTTTTAATTGGGTTTGACTATTACATAGCATTAGAAATTTAAAATAACATATTAATTTCAAACGGGACACCGGGACGGGACATGATATTTTATAGATATCCCGGTCCCGTCCCGTTTAATATCGGTGCGGGACCGGTTCGGGATGAAAAAATTGTGTCCTAAATGGATTAGGATAGTTTCGGAACGGTATCAGGATTTTTCGGTTTGAGACACCGGGACCGGGATTTTTGCCCACCTCTAGCGGATTATGTTAGTGGGTTGTGAATAGCGGATTCAGTTTGCGAGTTTGACTAGCGGAATAAGTTATCGGGTTGTCAAAAGATGTTTGATAATTTAGCTGTTTGGCCACAAAATTAGTAGAAAACGTCATTATTCAAAACGCTAACTAAAATTCTCCTATTTTTGGAGTTTGTATTTCGGTGTTTCTGTCCAAAAACACTAGTGCGGCCGAACATCTATTTACCAAAATATATTTCACTTATTGAAAATGCTAAAAGTGGTTAAATCGCCACTTTTGTGCTGAAACGTCATCCACCAAACACCCCCAGTGACATATTTCACACTGGCAGTGACAACGTAATGGTGGCGGACGAGACATTTGTGGTCATTGAAAGTGGCATAATAAACTGGGAGTGACATTAATGACTAGGGCTGAGCAAAATAGTTTGGTTTAACCAAACCGAATTAAACTGGAAATTTGTACTTTGGTTTGTGTTGGGTTTAGTTAATTAAGGAAATTGTTTAGTAACAATTTTCTCAAACCAAATCGTTTAGTTTGGTTTTAAACCAAAAAACCATAAACCGTATCGAACACTAAACAACTTGTACTCCGTATTATATATAAAAAAAACTTTAGATTTGTCTTCACTTTTCATCTCTAGATTATACTCCATCAGTCCCGGAATTAGCTTCCTTGTTCGACTTCATGGGATTTGAGGTAGGAAAGAAATAAAAGTTGACTTTCCAATAATACTCTTAAAAGTGGCGGTCCAAATTCATTGAAGGAGGTAAGTGAAAAGTAAAAGTAAAGGGTAAATGGATATTTTGAAAGTAAAAAACTTTCCAAAATTAGAAATAAAGTGAAGTGGGGATGTTAATTTTGGGATATACCAAAAAGGAAAGGTGGAAGTAATTTCGGGACGGAGGGAGTAATTGAATAATTTAGATATGAAAAATACATACTTAGCATATTTCAATTCAATTTTTACGCATTTCATACATTCATTGAGGCCGTTTGGAGGCCTTAGAATAGGCTGATAAGCATGTAAGTAGGGAAAAAATGACAAACACCCATCCATTGGGCTGTTTTGGCTGATAATTATTATCAGGGAAAAAAAACAACTCCTTGGCTACTTTATTAGCTGAAATCCATTATTTCACTGTTGGCTAGTAAAGAGACCATCTTATCCTTCTTTAGTTGTTGGAAAATGCTTGGAACAGATCGTTGATGGCTCGAGAATTTCTCCTTCTCGATCGAAGGCTTCTTGCTCGGCTGCTCTCTCTCTTCTTCTTGCGAAATACTACATATTATGATAATGATTTTCTATGTTATGAAATACATCGTTGATGTTTTCTTTCTGAGAGATCCAGGTTCGATGTTACTCCGTATTTATGGTTGTTGTTCTAAAGAGTACTGCTATATAATACGGAGTGAGGTTTGAAGAATTCTTTAACAACAGAACAAATATTCCTTTGGAGTTGTAAGAGTTGCACACTCGTTTGATTGGTTTGAAGCTGCAGGCTAGATCTAATCTTCCATCGCAATAAAAATAAACTAATATCCTTTATGATAATTTTACATTCAATCAACCATTTCAGCCAAAATATTATCAAACACTTTCACTTTAGAAATTTCGGCCAATTCAGCCATTTCAGCTGTTGCAGCCATTACCAAACGGGACCATTATGACAATGTTAGCTAATAAGACGTACTTGCATGTATTCGTTACTACTATATATTTTATACTCTACCTATATGACAAAATGTTTCTCAATATTAATAACAAATTGCATTACTATTAATTTTAGTTAAACTAGAGTACATGTACTATACATTTAAATGATTCATTTGAATGAAATTGTGAACTTTACAACGTTCTTATTGACGACTCATACAGCTTTATTTGAATATTTGTGATTTATAAATGTTCATCAATAATAAACTTAATTCTTCTCAAAATTAAAACTTTTTTCTGGTGATTGAAAAGATGCTAGACGTTTTCATGTCATTGTCTCATAAAGATAAATTAGCTGATAATTTATACGAATAATATTCTATTGTTTCTTTTTCTATCTTTTATTTTTCTTTACATTTTATTTAGATAATAAATACAAAAAGATCAGGCATGGACCCGGGCCGGGCCGGGCCGGGCCTCGGTTCAATTTTTTTTTTTTTGCCTTTTCCTAATTAACCCCTAACCACCCCCTCACCCCCAAACCATCCCAAACCATCTCAAATGACCCAAAATACCCAGCCCAACCCAAAAACTTAAAAAAAATTAAAAAAAAAAAAGAAGAAAAATAAAATGGCCCGGACCGGGCCCGAACCGGCCGGGCCAATTCACTTTTTGAGTGGCCCGAGCCCGAACCGGAACCCCAGCGGTTCGGGCCTACCCGAACCGGTCACTGACCGGGCCACCGGGCCGGGCCGGGCCGGAACAGTGCCGGTTCGGGCCGGTTCCGGGTCGGGCCACCCGGCCCGAGTCCATGCCTAAAATAGATGAGATGGACTACTATTTTCGTTTTCTAATTCTATACTGTAGAACTTGATCAAATAAAATACTCCCCTCTGTCCAAAAAAAATTGGCCAAATTGATTTTTCTTAGAGTATAAAATTTATAAGCCACACAAACAACTAATACTCAAAATCAATGTTTAAACTTTAACATCATTGACCAAGGAAATCAATTTGACCAATTTTCTTGAGACGGAGATAGTAATAAAGATATGAAACCGAATCAAATTGAGCCTAATAATTTTCACTTTGATAAACAAATTTGAAAGTTGATACCAAACCGGAAACCAAACGGTCCAAACCTAAACACAAATGGCATTAATTTGGTTCAACATCAACCACACCGAATAAACCGAAGCCAAACCAATGAAAACCGAACCATAAACCGAATTTTCCGCCCCGACATTCCAATTTGGTTGCTCTTCTAGTCAAATTGTTGTTCAAGTGTAACAAAAAGTAACATTTTTAAAATGCCTTTCTAAAAGTGTAATTGGACAGATTTTTAATTCCAAAACATTTGATAAAGATTCGAGGTGGCTTTCATAAACATTTCAAATTTGGCTTCGATTTATTCGGTTTAGTATTTCATCTATCTCAAAATTTAAATTTGGCGTGAAATCGGCTTTTTGTTTATAACCAAAACCAGAACAAAGCAGCTACTTTGAAACACGGGTGAAATCACATAACTTGTTGGTTAAGCATTATAAAACATCCGTTTTTGGGGGAGGGGGGATTAATGTATGAATGTATGATATCCACTACTAGTCTGAGCATGAATCAAACATCCACTTTGAACAAACCTACACAAGCATTGTCTGCAACATTTTAGACAAGCAAATCAACCCAAGTCTCAAAACACACACAGACTTCTTAAACAATACCGACTGGCATTAGCAATTTTTCTGTACCTTGAGTTGCATAAAAATATAAAACAGTGGGGAAAGTACAAAGTCTCCTTTTTGAGAAAAAATGTTGATAAAGCGAAGAGTCTAATAAGATATACAGCAGAGTTGAACATTTGGGCAGATCAACGCCTCCTCCTCCTCCTCTTTCGTGAGGTATCCTCTTCCTCAGAGCTGCTGCTGCTGCTGGATGATGATTCAGACCCAGAGGAATGAGAACCTGATGAATCGGAAGAAGCAGGGGTGGTGGGCTTCTGTTGCTGCTGCATGATGAGGCGTGGCATATTCTTCAGATATTCTCGGAGGTTCTCAGTGATCCCACCCAGCCCGATGGAGGTGAAAAAATTGATTGCAAACCTTGTGTTCTTCGGGTTGTCCTTCGGAAAAATAGAGTCAAACGAGTCTTGCATTGTTGGGTCATTTAGGCGTTCATTCAAAAGCCGGATCCCAAGATGTTCAGATAATTCCTGCACAACGATCATTATTAATACAGCAATTGCAACAACTACAACATCCAAGACTTATTCTTAAGAGTCCGGGGTCCACTAACATTAATATAGCATTTGCTACTTCCTAAAAATGAATACAACTTTTTTGTTTTAACTTTTAACAAATTCCCTTCTCCCTCAAGTCCATTAGTTTTAGACCATTACTTTTAAACGTGGACAAAATATAATTAGTCATTAGCACTGCACTATGATTTGTTATATCATGAAGGCTAAAGGTATCCAGAAAAGCACAGAATACAAGTTTCTTTTTTGGGCAATCAAAAGAGAGGCAGTCATAAGGATGTTATTGGCTTACTGCCTCTGGACACAAACATGTGTCCACATTCTGTGGTGTAGCCCCCTCCCCACCCAGTTACAAATTTATGATTAATTTGGTTCCCCACGCCCAAATGTTGTTAACAACGACAAACAAAATGAATGGCATGCCTCCGTGAAACTTCAAATGATGCTAAGTCAGTTGACTCCACATTAAGGCGTGATTGTGTGACAGACTATATTGTCTACCTAGTACCTACTATATGTTCCTATAATCTTCTTTTGTTGCTTTAGAATTCAAATCTTTATTAAGTTCTTTTATAATGTCTTCATATTTGAAAAATTCAAATGCACAAGTGCCAAAATTCAATGGGTAGTATATAACCGAGAATGATAAACCAAAGAAACTATAAAACGATTTAAGCAAGAGAATGATAAGGGTTTAAGATTTACTGATCAGGAAGCTTACCTGAAAGAGAATTTTGATAAAAATGCGGGAAGAGGAGGTCGTGTCTTCTTCCGTGAGTCGAATGTAAGCCAGAACATGCCAAGGCAATGCATCAGTTCCAAGCAAGTGGGCAAAGAACTTGGCAACATTTCTCAGTTTATTGGTTTCCAACCGATGAATCATTGAGTACTGTTGCACAAAGCACTTTTCGAAGTTCTCCTGGTGAATCTTGTTGATCATACAAAAACGTTGACCCAAAAGCCCATAGTAACGGAGGTAGGTTCTCTCCTGGCTGCAGCACTCTAGAAGCATTATGCATAACTCCATCTGCACATACCAAAAACATGCCATCAGAGAGTTACTTGTGTACCCAACTGAATAATAAATATCACACACTAGCAGTAAAATGTCAGAACTCTTGGTCGCATTTAGGCTCACTAGGGTCTGTTCCGAGCCAGGAAAATGCTGTTGAAAGAGAAAATGCAAAAAGAAAATGACGTACAAGTCAAATTCGGGAAAAAGAATGTATGTTCTTGACTCAATAAATTTATTCAGGATATTTATTCAAACTCATTATATATACTCCTCTGTCCCCTTATCTTTGTCTCATTTTACCATTTCATCCATCCAACTAAGTTCGGCTCATACCATATTTGAGTTGTTGCAATTCATTCTTACTTTATTCACACTTTACCAGCTCAATACCGACCAAACAACTCCACTTTTCTCAGTCCCTCTTATCCCAAACTTATGGGGGGATGGAGGTAGTATTTATTACTATTATATATAGACTATTAGAAATATAAGTATATGGAAATATCTACACATTCTAAAAAAAATTGCATTTATACAAGTAACCATAAGAATAAGGAATTAACTAAGTATTTTCTTCTCCTTCACCTAGCATATTCTGTTATCCAAACATACCAAAAGGAAAACTAGTGATTATCATGGTGGCATATAAGACAATCCTATACTACATTGAATAGTAATTTGTTTAACCAATTTTGAATTTCAACCTTTACTGTAACCACCTAATATACACCACTGCCAAAAGGCAGGTGATGGTTATAACTGCCTTTTAACTTTTCAATGAATCTTCTACCAAAAATTTTACAGTCTACGGTAAAACAAACTGCATATAGTATATTGGAATTGACGAGCATGATAATCAGAGCGAAATACCACTCTACCAGTATACCACTCAGAACTATACCAGATACTGTCACCAAATTACAAATCGCTGTCTTAACTATTTTCTATGTTTAACTCTTTTATTCTGCCTACATGAATGTGTGTTACATACTTGGTTTAAGTTGTCTCATGGTAACACCCTTTATGCCATTTTATTTCTTACAGTTTTAGAAAATACAGGTCTCATTCAAAAATTAAGCTTGGAAAATAGAGGACAAGCATGGAAATTAAACACATCTTAGCCATTAACTTTGAGATAGAAGAAATAATTTCCATTCTCCCGCAGCACCCCCATCCTTTTGAAGGCTTTTTATACTTGTGGGAGTTAGGAGTGTCAACCCCATCAGTGAATAGCAGACTCTACACTACCAACAATGAAAACAAATCAGATATGTAGATGAAGAATTAATTACACCAACCTCTTGACCAGGCTCAAGTTTAATCTTCAACAGTTTATGGCCTGCTTCCTCAAAGTCCACACTCGACATAATTGTAAGATATATGGTTCTTCGAAGGTTGACCAGGTTTGTTTCTGTCTCATCAGTTATTTTCATTTGTTCTTCATCGTCGTCGTCTTCTTTGTCTTCATCTTCATCTTCATCCACAGACGCAGCATCAGAATCCCCTTCTTCTTCAGATTCATCACCTAGTATTGCCCTTTTCAATTCTTCATACTTCTTTTCATTTTCTAAGTAATTGGGATCTGGCTTGAAAATATTCAGTGCATCTTCATCTTCTATAGTATCCTGAAGAGATATTTCATGGGTCAACTGATCCTCCTGCTCTACTAAATCGAGCTCTGGACGAACAGCAGGATAACCCTGTGTAAGGATATCAATTCAAAACTCTGATAGGATTATAATAAAAATGACCTAAATCCAATACTGCATCCACCCATTATCTATTGAAATTTCAAGGGTTGATGCAACCTGACAGTTAATAACTATATGACACAACTCTTGCAACAATAAAATAAAATAAAAAAACTGCCATTTTAGATAGCTGTGTCTTTTAGGGGGTGTCAAAGTTACTTGACATGAAAAATCAAGACGCAAAATTGATATTGTCAGTATCAATAGTGAGATGATATCCATTAATTATCTTCAAATTGAGAATGTTGGTTTACCTGAAACTTTGATTTACGTATTGCGAAGAGGCCTTCAATCAAGAACTGAACTCTTTTATCAATCTCTCCTTCATGAAGTATCCCACGAAACCGCTCAAAAATACCTATTCATGTCACAAAATGCATGTCATTTAAATGCCCAATACACACACACACACACACACACACATATCAATGTTTCTGCATGCAGAACACAATGCCTAGTCCAATAAGCAAAACTCAAATTTCTGTAGTACATTTTTTCACAAATAGCAAGCAAGGAAGTGGAAGTCCTCCCTTCAGGAAATGAAATCAATCTAAAACGTAAATAAAAATGTATAACCGAAAATAGGAAAGGCTATAAATCAAAGTAGATGGAAAACAGGCGACGCAGAGCACATGCTGCAAATAGACTTTCATCGTAGGAGGACAATCGAAAATTGCCATTTATAATTGATGAGTCGATTATTTCTTTATTATGTTCATCGGTTGCGCCTGCAGTTGTTCAACTATATCTTCAAGTAAGTTTATCTAAGTGTAAACAGCATCTATTATTGTTGTATAAATTGCACTCTCAGCCACATAGATTCTATTTTGCATCATAAAATTTTAAAAGTTTGAGCACTCTACAATATTACCCTTTAGAAGTCATGAGGCTCATTACTATTATTGGTATGATCTAAGGAGAAGCTTTTCACATGGTCACAAAACCCATAAGAAAACTTTCTAGGGCTACTCTGAATATACCCAAAGCTCTAAATAGAAACAAACTATAAAACAAATAAAGCTTCACTACTTGCAATGCCAAGCAAAGAAAGGAGTGCATAAGAATCTTTAAGGAATTGATGGTGTTCAGTATCTGATTGATTCTGGAATCCTGGAGTGTTCAAAACGACACAGATGTATGTAAAAATGTAAAATGGACAAATTTCAAACCAATGTGAAAGGTTATTGAAAATATACACTTTAAAGATGACTTACCGTGCAATCCACGTGGTGTCAAGTCTTGGAGAATAGATCCACACTCAGTAACAAAACCAACTGCAACTTCAACACTGTCATCTGAGGGATTCTCAAGCAAGACAGCAAGAAGTTCAAGAGCAATCAGCTCATGAACTACTTGCTGGTTTACAAGATGAGCAATGAATTTAACAGCTGCCAACAATTTGGGCTGCAAGGAAACCACACCATGGATTGTTACAAATCAAATCATGAATAGAAGAATCTGAAAAAATTCTATTGGCAGTACCCTAAGCAAAATAAAAGGGCCTCAATGTTTCAACATTCCACTCACTTTAGCAATAAAGAATTACACATTATTTTAATGATTAAAATGTAATTTACCAACATGAGCAAAACAAAGTGAGGATATGAATGGAAAGAGGGCAAGAAGTACGGACCTTATCATTGCGTTTGTAGGCTCTTTGAAGCTGCAAAATAATCCTCCTCAAAAGAAGATCTCCCACCTCTGGAAACTTGGTGTTAACAATAGCAGCCAATGCTGCAAATACATCAGTAAAACCAGGAGAGGCCATTTGGGACTTCATACAAGAGCGGCAAAACAGGCCCCTTCCACGAATCAGATTCTCAGCAAACAGTTCTGGAATTATGTTCTTTATATTTGTTGCATTCACTTTATTAACCAACCCATTTATACTCTTCCTAAGAGCATCCCATGTCATCCTTTGGTATTCCACTGAGCTTTTGTCCTCTGTTTCCTTCATCATCCTAGCCAACTTAAAAGGAGGGATGTAAACTCCTCCGCTCCTCCCCAATTCAACCGTCAGATTTGGCACATTCCCTTCTTGTTTTGACACCTTAGAGTCCTCGTTCAAATTATCATCTTTTGCAGCCTTCTGTCTACTCTCGTTATCATTATGCTTACGCCTATCATGCTTTCCATCCCTGCTTTTATGCCTCTTGTCTTTTTCACCATCCACTGTATTTCTAACCTTCTTATCTCTTTCCTTCTCCTTTCTATGATCTTCTTGACTAGAATCCCTAAAATCTTCATAACTATCTTCTCTATGCCTCGTTTCCCTTCTCCCAGAATCATAGTTCCCGCTGTCTTTCTGTTTCTTCTGTACCGTCCTACCATTGTTTCTACTGTCATCTTCCCGATGATCCTCCCTGAGCCTATTTTTCCTTCTATCACCGCTGTCTTCACTTTCATCACTGTATTTGTGTTGCTTATTCTCCCTCCTCCTACCATTATCTCTATCTTCATCTTCATAAGAATCAGCATTGTGCCTATCTTTCCTTCTATTAACATTACCTTCATAGCCATCAAAGTCTTTCTGTTGTTTCTTCTCCCTCTTACTATTATGTCCACCTTCATCTTCAAAGTAGTCGTCTTTGTGCCTGTTTTTTCTTCTATTGTCATTATCTTCATAGCCATCGAGGTCTTTCTGTGATTTCCTATCTCTCCTACTATTATCTCTACCTTCATCTTCATAAAGGTCCTCCTTGTGCCTCCTTCTGTCACCACTTAACTCATAATCATCGCGCTCTTTCCGTTGTTTCCTCTCCTTCGTACGAATATCACCACCATCATCGTCATACCGATCTTTCATGTGCCTATCTTCCCTTCGGTCACCATTCCGTTGCTTCCTGTCCCTGCTAACGTTATGTCCATGTTCATCTTCCATCCCGCCCGGATGGATTTGCCTAGCCGCCTACGATTCAAGAAAGAGGCAAAGCTGGTGATAAATTGCGTAGGGGAGTACAGTCCACTGGTGTATGGCCGACCAGATACTGCCGAGAAAGAAAGAGTGAGTGCGTCGGGATTGGGATGTGAAAGAAGCAGAGTGTTGCTGATGGGCTTCAAGCCGGGTGCAGAATGGTAGTGTAGAGGCGGAAGGGAAACTGATACTCAGATCTGTGAGAATCTATTGAACATTTGAACCGCGCTTGGTTGTAGTTTTCCTACGATTTAGGGTTCTTGAATGTTTAAGGAGATTGGGAAAACAGTCAAATAGGTCCTAGAACTTTCATAAAAAGGTCAATTAAGTCCTTCTATAAGAGGTTCTGTCTGGCCGTCGCGATTTGGGGCAGTTCTCGGTGGATTTTTTTGATGAAATTTTTTGAGCATCTTATTCACCAAGTCTAGTTTACTCATACCAAATTTCAGCTAAAAATTCAATCGGGAACACATTCAAATTAATTCTTGAAGATAACTGCGCATTTTTGCGTTCTCGAATTAATTTGAATGCGCTCCCGATTGAATTTTTAGCTGAAATTTGGTATGAGTAAACTAGACTTGATGAATAAGATGCTCAAAAAAATTCATCAAAAAATTCCACCGGGAACCGCCCCAAATCGCGATGACCGGACAGAGTCTCCTATAGAAGGACTTAATTGACTTTTTTATGAAAGTTCGAGGACCTATTTGACAGTTTTCCCTAAGGATTTTATTTCAAGGTTAAACTAGGATTTTATTTCCTACAGATCTACAATCGGGCATATCGGGCAGCAAGATTAAAATTAAAACTAGTATCGTACCCGTGCATTGCACGGGATAAAATGAACTTTTGTAGTTTATTTGTAGTATATATATAATGAATATTGATGTAATACACTAACACACCATCCTTCCCATAAATTCTTCTCAGTTTGGCTCATATCGAAGTTTAAGAAAATGAGAATAAAATGGAAATGTATGGTTGTGATTGAATAAGAAAAATGTAAATAAATGTTAGCCACATAAAATATTTCAAAAAGGGAAATGCAAAGAATGTTTTAGGACATCCCAAAAGAATAAAATGGAAAAAAATTTATGTGACGAAGAAAGTATATGTTTATATAAAATCATTGCAGTACAAACTAAATAAAACTACATGTTCTTAAAATCATTAAACCGAAAAAAAGCGCATGCCGTGTTGTAATGAATCCTATATACTTATATAGGATGATTAGTACTCTCTCTATTCTTTTTAAAATGTAGCATTGGACTCTTTTCACTATTCATGTGTTCTACTTTGACTCTATTTTATATAATAATGTATTATAAATTAAATTTAAAATAATTTGTCGAATTCTTCTCATTTAAAATCTAATTTTTTTTACCAATAAGGAATGTAAGACATGAATGGTCAAACTTGTGCATTGGTAAACGTGAAAAGTGAATCGTTGCATTCAAAAAAGGGAAAATGGTCAGATATGCCCTTATACTTACATAAAAAGGTCAAATAACCCCTTATATATGAGGCTCTGTCTGGCCGTCTCCATTTAGGACGGTTCCCGATAGATTTTTTTGATGAATTTTTCTGAAGATAACTGTACTGTTTAATATTAATATTCTTATATGTTAATATTTTCGCCTCAATATATTAATATTATTTTTTAATAATTTTTTATTGCTTTAGGGTATATATGAATACTCCCTCCGTCCCAAAAAAAATTTCGTGGTTTCCTTTTTGACCGTCCCAAAAAATTGTTCCACTTTCCTCTTTTGGAAAGTTTTGTGTGGTTCTTATTCATTTACCTTTTTCTTACTCAATCACAACCATACATTTCCACTTTATTCTCACTTTCTTAAACTCCGATCCAAATCAATCGGGAACAATATTTTGGGACGGGGGAGTATTAATTTGCATTTGGTCTTGATACACCCCTCCAAAATCTACACTTACAAAAGAAACACAAATATCCTTCGGCCCATTTAATTTACAACCCTGGCCCAATTGTGCCCAAACCTATGTCTGTACCCTGGCTCACTCTCAATCTCACCCTTGGAGTGATCTGATCTCTAGATCAATCCGGCCTTCTCATGCTCCCCTTATCGATCAAGCCAAGCCTGGATAATACCTGGTGATGGTGCGAGGGTGACCTCATATTGTACAACAAATATATTCTTACCCCTTCATAATTCTTCATCTATTAACATGTTCACACATCAAACCACTTGCTTTATTTACTACTCCGTATCATTTAATTACTCATTTAGAATGCTTATTGACAAATTACTTTAGAAACAATCTAAGTTTCACTTCTCTGCTCTTCTATACTATTTTACCTACAATAAATTTGCCCACACTACATGAAATGTGTTCTATTTTTTAATAAAAAAATCGATAGAAAAGAAATTAGTTGATACTCCCTCCGTCCCTGAAAATTGTTCCCTGTTTCGTTTTTGGGCCGTCCCAAAAAATTGTTCCTCTTTCCCCTTTTGGAAAGTTTTTTGTGGCTACAATTCATTTACCTTTTTCTTACTCAACCACAACCATACATTTTCACTTTATTCTCACTTTCTTAAACTTCGTTCCAAGTCAATGCGAGAACAATTATCCGGGACAGAGGGAGTATTTTGTACTTGGGTTGTGTTGAGGGTTCCTCTTCTTTCCAACAACCTTGCTCCCAGTAAAAATGAGTTTACTATGACCTGGCATTCTCTTTGATACCAAGCAGCATCTCATGGTCAATTATTGTACATTCTTATATTTAATTTTACACTACGAATTATTTTTTATAGCTAGATTTTTATCCTCATACAAAATAAGTAGTTGATCTACACAGATTACTGGAATGGGCTATGATATTACAACGAATTGAGATCCGGTTATAAAGTACATAATGAGGGTTATCTATGATCTTTTCCATGAAGTAGCTAATATACTCATCCTGAATCTTATCACCTTGTTTAGAATTTACAATGTATAATCTTACTCCCAAATGAAAAACCAGTTTGAATTACCAATTATATGCATGAATGCATAATAAAGAGTTAGCAACAACACTTTTTGTTGCATGCTGGAGAACCATACGAACTCTTAACGCCCAAATCAATTTTGAGGAGTTAAACATGTGTATCTTTTTTAACAACATCTTGGTATGTAACAGCAACCCTAAAAAAATTCTTTTTTCATACAACAATAACAACATCCAAACCTTAATACCAAAACCTTTTTTTGTAAGTGAAATAAAATAATAAGAATAATACATACCCCGACAACAATGAACCATGGTTAGAAGTGATGTAAAAACTCGTATTTTATAAAGTAAGAATTTGTGTATTTTTGCAGGCAGTTCCCGACTGTTAGTGGAAACTGCCACATGCGACCTGGAAAGCATGAACCTAGCTTAAAATAAAATTAAAATTATTATAGCACAAGTAAAAAAACTATATTTTTTTAACAATTATTACTATTGCTACAAAGGGTGGTATGGTTGAATTCCGTCGAGCGTAGTGAAATTCAACTCAATCACAACAGTATGTGAGTATGTCCACTGAATATGAGAGAAGAAAGGAGGAGATGAGATAATAATGACGAAATTAGGCATTTTTTGATTGGCAGTGACTAATCCGGAAAGGGCACAACCTCCCTAGCGGAATAATCTGGCTGGACTTTCAAAGCAATGTCGTAACACTTTTGGCCCTCGCCCTTTCTTTCCTGACTCGTCAGGATCCTCACCCCTGTCGTGCATTAGTTAGCGTCTCCACCCTCTCTGTTTTGTTGAGAGGGCTCGTCGCCAGTGCGACATCTATAAACAGAGTATATTTACACACACGCACTTATAGATATATACAAACTCATCTATATATCATATACACTTATTTGAGAAATCAAAATCATCCGTTTTGAGGATTTTTTTTATACACATATAAATCTCAACATATAAACACTTTTTTTCTCAACATATAAAAACTAAAAAAATACTTATGAAAATGACCTATTCAAGTTCCTCATTCCAGCATAAATTTGAAACAATAAAAGAAATAAATAAAAAGTTTATGAAGACCGCTATTTAAGTTCCTTCGGTCTCCCAAATATCATCACTAACCAAGCACTCGCTGCCTACTGCCCTCCCAACCGCCTTTACAAACCCAGTGGCCACCAAAACTCTCTGCAGTACTTCCTAACCGATGTGTGGCAAACACCACAACATTTCTATTTCACACGTTCTACGGTCCAACAACTACTATCTTTATATAGGGGCAAAGGGCGACGATTTACAATTAATTAAGAAATCTCGAGAATCTCTAGAAGTTCAAACGGAGCATCACTCCATCTGCTATTTAATGGAGTCGCTTCGGAAATACTAAATGCTTTGCCGTCCCATTAATAAAACAACCGATTGATGCATCGGTATTGTTAAAAGAATTCTTGGATATATTTAATTTGTTCATCAATTAATAACACATTATTTGAATTTTGAACACACCTTCCCGCCCAAATTCCCTCCCAAACTCCCCCCACACTTTTCCATTTTAATATATATATAGATGAGAAAGTGGTGGAAATGGGAATTGATTTGTCAATTAATTGCTATTTAGTATAATTGATAAACTAAATAATTGCTATCAACTACTTAGAAATAAATTAAATTGACGTTCATTCCTTTCGAAACTTTGTTAGTCTCTATTTCTAACAATCATGCAATCATAGAACAGTGAAAGAAGAAACAGATAGATTCTCATTCAATATATAAATGTCGAGAACTTTGGTAGACCGTATAAAATGGTCGCTGCCCTCCCTCTAGAGAGAGAGAGCAGCCTTAAACTATTCTATTCTATTCTGCCTCTATACTCTATGATTTATGTTTTCTCTTAAGTTAGCCTCCTTTTATAGGTAAGGAAGTCTAACTTAAGGCTTACAAGAGAGGTTAATGGGCTGATATGGCTCTTGTGGCCCATTTACACATTTAACTAACAACTACACAAATACAAAGGCATCCAACTAGATTGGACACCAGAAAAAGTCCTAACAATCTCCCCCTTGCTGTTCAATCTTGTTTGATCAGCATTGCAGCGCGAATGTCTTTCTCTTTGTGTCCAGTTGCTCCTCAATGCAGCTCAGCTTCCTTTGTCTTTGCACTCGGCTTCTTGAAAAGGCTTTTTGAAGAAATTCTTGCAATCTCCCCTTTGATGTCTTCATGGCAATTTGTTCTTTGATGCCGGGGAGTTGAAGAATCTTCAGGATGTAGCTTGTG